TAATGCTGGACCCAAAATTTACCGGCCAAAAATGCAATAATTTTAACTTCAGTTAAATTTTAACATCAGCTTCGATGCTTTAAAACTTTTTTTAAAACAATTAAAAACATATAAAAAATGTTTTAACCCGTTTTTTTACCATCCCTACACCCGGGTGACCCGCGGGTTTACCCGCCGGGTTACCCGGGTCATGATTTTTCAGACGGGTCCAACCACTACGATGAAATATCCGCGGCCGGTTACCATCTAAATGATGTTCTTTGTTAGGCCGAGATATTGCTTTCAAGCCTTCTTCTTTCTTGCGTTCAAACAAATCCCCAAAATTAGAATATGATGAGTACCCAGAATAGCCATCTAAAGAGTCAACGTCTCCTATGCTAGATACGCTAGATCCCTCTTCTGCATAAAACGATGATTCTGGTGAAATGCTTGATAATTCCGAATTCGGTGTTGATATTGGTGTGCGATATCGAATATCTGGCATAGACATGGTATCATAAGGTGTATTTTCTGGCAGAATATTTAATGGTCGGTGATCCGTAATAGGCATTCTTTCTGATGATCCTTTGGGGGGTTCTTTTTTCTTAGTGCCGCTGAGCCATTTTTGCAATGATAATTGATGAACAATAGATGGTAAATCTTCCTGAAACATTGTTCTCAGTCTTTTTTCGATTTCTGACTGCAAAAATCTTTGTATGCTTGAAATGCTGTCAAAAGTTGAGGTTACATCGACCTTTTCCAATGGATCATTTTTGAAAACTAATGTGATCCCCTTTTGCTTGCTAACTACCAAAACGATAATACCTCGCAATTTCAAGTTGCTTAATCTTAGAAGCATAGGTACAACGAGTGGTTGGTCCGCTGCAAGAATTCCTCTTCTAGTGTACACACTCACATCAGATTTATTGCTGTTCATCGGATTCGCCTTGCAAAAAAAAAACAAAAAAAACTATTAACCAAAAAAACCCAATACTAAAATATCTATTCTGCAGACTCTATACCTGCACTTTGGTCTGTAAAGTTAAATGAGCGTCACCGCTGTATATCAATTTAAATATTCCTCTAAATTTATCAACTGCCAGCTCACAAATTTCCATAATCTCTAACTCAGGCGGCTGGGATATAAATGAGTTAAAGAAATTGAAAATGATCAGTTTCTTGTTTCTTAAAAATAGACAAATACCCTATGGAGACGGTACATTTAACTTCAATAAGAAAGGATTTATTACCTTTGTTCCCATGTTCAAGTCTTTGACGACTATAGGATCCACTATGTTCACTGGCTTACTGCTCTTGTTCAGAGCTGTCGTTAAAAGCTGTTTAGCTTGCTCCACGAATTCTGTGGTAAATTCTGGCCAGCTAAATTTAAAAGACATACTTTTGAACAATCCTTTGCCTCAGTAAGCAAATAAAAGTACGATCATCTATGAAAGTCATCTGGTTGAGATTATAGATAAGTTTAATCTAGTGGGAGTAATATAAGTCTGCGTGTCGCCGTATCATGTGATAGAATGATGATTGACTAATCAAAACGTGAAATTTTAACCATTCCGGATCAGCCCGACGAAACAAAACGAAAAAGAGAAGCGCAATTTTACAATTTTACTAACGCTAACCTAACCTTACTTAACCCAGGCTGCCCTAACTCCAATACTGTACAACATTATATTAAAATTAAATATGTGGGCTTAGAAGTAAAACTGCAAAATTGTTTTTTTACTAATATAATACTATTTTGCAAGTGATACAAACCCAAAAAGAAAAAAATCGTTTTTTTTTTTAATACGTACGTACTGTACATACGTACTAAATTTAATTTAAACTATTGACAGTATATATATATATATATAATAATAAAATTATATATATATATACGAATATATATACATATATATATATTCTATATATCTGATATATATATACACTGGCGATCATAAGTAGTGCAACGAAAAAAAATTTCACTTAGATCGCATTATTTCCCGCAATTTTTATTTTATGTACTCATAAATGGTACCTTTTTTCAATGTTAAAATTTTAATATTCATTATCGTAAAGATAAGCGAGCATGTAGCACAAATCATGTGTTGCATTACTTTTGATTAGGGTGTCGATGCGAGGATGGCCAAATTATGCATGCGACAAATTGTAAATTATGCAAATTATGCGAATTTTTAGCTTAAAATATGCTCATATTAGCGCTATACCGCAAATTATGTAAAATGTGCAAAAAATATTTTCTGAAAACAAATTATTTATGATTTAAAAACTGTGATATTTTTTAAAGAATAAATGCATATCTCGCACCCTGCGATATGCTTATATATCGCACTTAAATATGATTGGCTAATTTTGCAGATC